AGTATTTAGATTTTTTGTATTTTTTTAAAGCTATCTTTAAAAAAAAATCAATAGAGTGGAGGGATTGGGCAAAAAAAGACTAATCAATGGTTCACACATGATTTACTTACAATATGGGGTTTTAAACTTGTATTTCATGACGTGTAGTATCAGCTCTTTTTCAATCATACCACAGGCAAAAATTAGACTTAGACTTAGACTTAGAAAACTTTATTTATCCCGCAGGAAATTGCTTATGTAATGACTGCCATAACACACAAAACACAGAAACACAAAACCACAAGACAAAATAAATAAATTAAGTAAGTGAAATAAGTCACATAAATCCAACCAATCTATAAAAGGAAACAGCCACAATACATAAGTATACAAACTATTATATAAGATATTACACTTAAAAGAATCAGTGGTAACTAATACTAATAAGTCATATATCAAGTAATGAAAATAATATTAACCAAAACTAATAATATTACACATAAAACAATTACACATACAATAATTCAAGTAGTAAAGGCATTCAGCACTCATTTAAAAAACAAAGATATTGCACTAAAAATATTTAAGACCCAGTAAAAAAACGTACAAATATTGCACCTAATAGACTATTGCACATCATAGAACATAATGCACAGACTTCCACACACTAAAACCCGTAATAATTAATTAATATATGGCACGAGCAGCAAGGTATTGCATAGATTACTGTAAGGGTAAGTGACTGAGGGAGACGTTATGAAGTCTGATAGCAGTGGGAAGGAAGGATTTTCTGTGGCGTTCAGTGGAACACTTTAAGCTGGTAAGTCTATGACTAAAGGTACTTCTCAGCTCGTCAACCACATTATAAAGAGGATGATCCACATTGTGCATAATTGACCGAAGTCTGCACAATGTTCTCTTTTCGGCCACAGTTTCCATATTGTCCAATTCCTCACCCACCACAGCGCCAGCTTTCCTAATCAATTTGTTAAATCTCTTCATATCTGCCACTTTTACACTACCACCCCAGCACACCACAGCATAGAAAATGGCACTGGCCACTACAGACTCATAGAACATACGCAACATGGTGTTGCAGACTCTAAAAGATCGGAGTTTACGTAGGAAATACAGCCTACTTTGACCCTTCTTATATGTGACCAGAGAGTTCTTGGACCAGTCCAGCTTATTGTCAATATACACACCCAAATATTTATAGTCCTGAACAATCTCCACATCCACCCCTCTAATGGACAAGGGAGTAACTGGAGATCGCCGTGATCTTCGCAAGTCCACCACCAGTTCTTTGGTCTTTTGGATATTAAGCTGCAACTGATTCAGCTCACACCAGTCCACAAAACTGTCCACAGCCATCCTGTATTCCAAGTCGTCCCCCCCCTTAATACATCCGACTATTGCTGAATCATCTGAAAATTTTTGCAGGTGACAGCCCTCTGTGTTATATTGGAAGTCAGATGTATACAGTGTGAAGAGAAACGGTGACAAAACAGTTCCCTGCGGTGCTCCAGTGCTACACAGTACCGTATCAGACTTATTCCCCTGTAGCCGTACGTACTGTGGCCTATCAGTCAGATAGTCCATAATCCACGCAACTAAGGGAGCATGAACCTGCATAGCAGACAGTTTGCTCCCTAGCCGGGCTGGCTGAATAGTGTTAAAGGCACTGGTAAAATCGAAAAATGTAATCCTCAGGGATGCACTCGGTTTGTCAAGATGGCTGTAGGCACGATGTAACAGGTAAATGATGGCGTCTTCCACTCCAATCTTGGCCTGGTAAGCGAACTGAAGAGAATCTTGCGCTGACCTCACTAGGGGGCGGAGAGTGCCCAGGACCAGCCTCTCAAAGACCTTCATACTGTGTGAAGTAAGTGCTACTGGCCTGTAGTCTGATGGAACACTAGGTCGCGCCTTCTTGGGTACCGGAACCAGACATGATGTTTTCCACATCACAGGAACTTTCTTAATACTGAGGCTCAAATTAAAGATCCTCAGCAGTACTCCACTTAACTGAGAAGCACACAGCTTAAGTACTTGTGTGGTTAATCCGTCTGGACCCGGTGCCTTAGCAGGATGGAGTCTGCATAATTCTCTCCTCACTTGGTCCTCAGTGATGATCATAGGTGGTTTATAAGAGTCTGAGACACCAATGAAAGGAGGAGAGGCGATGGAGGCTTCAGTTGGTACGATGGTGAAAGAGGAGGAAGGAGAGGGCGTGAAGTAGGGCAAAATGCTGCAATTTGACGTGACACTATTGGGGGGGAGCAGATGCACTAGGTGCAGTAAGGGCTGTGTCAGAGCTGGAGAGAGGCCTACTGTCAAACCTATTGAAAAACATATTAAACTGATTGGCCCTATCCACATCACCATCAGTTCTAGGGCTGCTGGTCTTGAAGCCAGTAATGTTCTTCATGCCTCTCCACACATACCTACTGTTGTTCTGTTTCAGCTCTTGTTCCAGCTTTTTCTTATATCTCTCCTTACCCTCCTTTAACCTCACCGACAAGCGCCTCTGTACTTCCTTAGCTGCTTCCTTATCACCTGACCTGAATGCCACCTTCTTTTCATTCAGAAGGGCTTTGATATCTTTAGTGACCCATGGCTTGTTGTTAGGAAAGCAGCGTATGGATTTCAATGGTACAGTACTATCCACACAGAAGTTGATATACTCAGTGACACAGTCTGTGAGGTTATCAATGTCCATACCATGTGGCACGCACAGAGCATCCCAGTCCGTAGTCTCCATGCAGTCTTGCAGGGCTGCACTGGCCTCTTTTGACCACTCCCTCACTGTCCTAACAGTAGCTGGCTGCCGCTTTACCAGTGGTAAGTAGGTGGACTGAAGGTACACAAGATTGTGATCCGATCTACCTAGAGGTGGAATGGCTATACAGCTGTATGCCTCTTCCACATTAGCATACAGTAAGTCCAGAGTCTTATTTTCTCTGGTGGGGCATTCTACATACTGTGAAAAGGTGGACAGTGTCCTGTTTAGTGAGACATGATTAAAATCGCCTGATATTAAGACGAACGCGTCCTGGTGCATTGTCTGGAGTCTAGCAGTAGCGGAGTGAATGACGTCACATGCCGTCGTCGCATTGGCCGATGGAGGAATGTAAACAACAATGGCGATCACATGTGAAAACTCTCTGGGCAGATAGTATGGACGTAGCCCCACTGCTAACAGTTCAATGTCCGGGCTACAGATACGTTCCTTAATCACAATGTGATTCGGGTGGCACCATCTTTCATTAACAAAAACAGCAAGTCCACCCCCCTATATATATATATGTGTGTGTGTGTGTGTGTGTGTGTGTGTGTGTGTGTGTGTGTGTTTGTATATATAAGCCCTTCTGTGATTTTTTTCAAGGTATGTCCTATAGTATTGTTTATTTTGAAGAAAGTCTTATTTGTTTTATTTTGGCTACAATAAAAAGCTGTTTTAATTTTTTATTTTTATGTTTTACGGTCGATATTATTAGCCCCTAAGCAATATTTAGTTTTATTGTCTAAAGAACTAACCTGTTATGCGTGTGACACTCATGCTGCACTCTCCGTACCACCAGAGGAAACACTCACCTAAGTACTGACACAAACTAGGGATGGGAAGATTAACCGATATGTATCGATACGCGGTCATGCGCGTGCACGATGCGAGTGCATCGGTTGAGCAGCTGAGGATGAATGAAATTTTGGAAGCAAATCGAGATGCATCGGTTTTTGTGAGATGCAACGATTTTTCCGAGATACAGCTTATATTTTTAATATAGAATGTATTTTTTATTTATTAACAAGTGTTGTCAACCTGTTTTTGGCGCATAATTTAATCGACCTACATAAAGTAAGCCTTAGCAACGGATTTGCGGATGTGCACACACTACAACTCAGTGTATCAGGTGTGCGGATGAAGCTAGTGGTGCGCCCTCAGAAAGCGCGAGAAGCAAAACGAACATATTCCCCACTGAGTTTTAAATCTAAAGTATGGCAAGCAACATTATGGATTTAAGGATGGACGACATGACAGGACAGATGCAATTTGCAAAATGTGCCGCGCATCTGTAAAATACGCGGGCAGTACGACTAATCTGATATCTCACTTGAAGCGGCGCCACGGTGTTGTTGTGGAAGCATCTTCCAGTGTTTCTGCATCCCCGGCTTTCGCACTGCTTCAACCAGTTCCAAAAGTGGTGAGAAAAGCATTGCAAGTTTTTTTTCCATGCGCAACAGTTCTGCTCGCTCTACGCCAATAACGAATGCTATTGCATTGTTCATCTGCAAAGATATTCAGCTTAGTGTCACGGAGAACGAAGGTTTTAAACACCTCCTCCTGTTAATTTTTATTTAATTATAATAATAATAATAATATTAATAATAATAATGATAAAAATAATTGGGTGTCACGGTGGCACAGTGGGTAGTTTGACCACCTCACAGCAAGAAGATTGCTGGTTTGTTATATTTTTATTAGCCTGTTGTTTACAGTGACAGTGATGTTTCAAAGCAGCATAACACTGCTAGTTCACAACCTTAAGTTTTGAATAATCAGTGGCAAAATATATCTTTGTAAAACTTGTTTTCATAGTTGAAAAGTTAAATCACAATTCTTGTTGTGCAATGCTAAATTTATTTATGTTGAAAGAGTGCAAATATATACATATTTTTTTATATATATATTGCACTTATACATTCTGTTTATCTTGAAAATACTTAAATAATATGTGCTATATGTTCTAAAATGGCCCTCTACTGTAAACTGACACTCTGGCTCTGAGAGAAGAGCCAGTTTGTAAAAAAAAGTCTTGGTTTTGCTTGGTTTATAAATAATCAAACTCATTCAATGGCACAGCATCCTCTTTCACATCATCTCATAAACATAAATCTAATTAGTTAGTGCTGAAATATCGCATCGTATCGTGATATGGGTGTGAATCGTATCGTGTTGCATCGCAATATGTCACAAATGTATCGCTAATATATTGGATCGTATTCTTTGTATCGAGATGCGTATCGGATCGGCATTATAGCTTAGATGCCCAACCCTAACACAAACACAAACTTCGTTACACATCAGCCCCCTTACAACGTACTGATTCAGCAACAGCTGATACCCATCACACACTTTATCCTGGTTTGAATTTCCTGTTTCTACTTCTGCCTGCACCCATTTCTGATTGTTTGCCGCCTGCCCCGACACCTAGCCTGCCTCTTGTACTTTGACTGTTAGCCGCCTGGCCCGACATTAGCCTGCCTGCCTATTCTTAGTCTGTATCTGCTGCTTCCTTCTAATAAAACTGCAAATGGATCCTCAGTCTCCAGAGTCTTTGTCACAGAAGACTTCACCACAAAGTGATCCAGCAGCGTTCATGCAGATCACAACAGAGCTCTCGGCCCAAGCCAACTAGCTCATTATTCGCCAGCAACAACTTACCTACCTGACATCACTCACGGAGGAACTGGTCAAAGTTCTACAGGGAATACGCCTTTCACCACCAGAGGCCGCTGCTCCACCAGTTATGAACATTGCTGCACCCCTGTCACCATCAACTCTCACGGTAAGCCCCCGGCTAGCGTTTCCTGAAAAGTTTGAAGGTGACCCTGCCAAATGCAAGGGGTTTTTGTTACAATGCTCCATGTTTGTCAACCAACAACCCACACTTTATCCTATGGATGCCAGTCGTATTTCATTTGTTTGTACCCTCCTCACGGGGAAAGCATTGGACTGGGCCACGGCTGTTTGGAAGGAGGATGGGATGGCGTTTCCCACTTTCTCTGCGTTTCTAAAAGACTTTTGTGCTGTGTTTGAACATGATGTTGGTGGAAAGAGCGCTGGTGACCAGCTCCTCACACCCACACAGGGACAGAAAACTGCCACGGAATATGATTAGCATTCCATACTCTTGCGGCTCAAACGAACTGGATCGAAGACACTTTAAAACTCCTCTTCAGGAAAGGGTTAAATCCGGAGCTGCAATCCGAGCTAGCATGCCGCGATGAGGGCAAGTTATTCTCTAAATTTATTAAACTAACCATCGAACTGGACAATGTAATTCGAGCATGACGCCCTACACGGTCAATGCACTACCCGTCTGTTGTCAACACCACTCAAGGAGACTTGATGCAGCTCGGAGTGACGCACTTGACATCTGAGGAGAGAAATCTGTGTATGTAATGTGGACAAGCCGGTCATTTAAAGATGTTATGCCCTACTCGTCCAATGACACAATCAGTCAGTGAGTTTGATTTTAAAAATAGTCCAGCATCTAATGTGCAGATACCAGTAAAATTGGCTGTTCAGGGCCTAACTATGCTTACGATGGCACTTTTGGATTCGGGAGCTGCTGGCAACTTTATGTCTGAAAAAATTGCACGGCAGAATAAGCTTACACTGATTCCCTATACCTCTTATTTAACAGTGGAGGCACTCAATGGCCAACCCATAGGAGGAGGGAGGATAACTTTTACCACCGACGAGCTCACCATGCAAACGGGGGCTCTACATTAAAAAAAAAAACCATAAAATTCTATGTGCTTAACTCATCAAATTATACCATTATTCTGGGCTTCCCATGGCTGTCCAAACACAAGCCTGTAATTTCCTGAAAGTTCTGGAGTGCCAGATCCCCCAGTGGGATTCTAGTTGTCATGCACACTGTCTCATGCCAGTAAAAACCCAGTCTGTGTGCTCCAATAACATGAATAGTGATGAAATATTCGATTCCTAATGAATACTCTGACCTGATTAAAGGTTTTAGCAAACCAAAGGCCCATCAGCTACCCCTCATCAGCCTACAGACTGCGCTATCGACTTACTAGCTGATACTACTCCCCCAGAGGCCGAATCTTTCCATTTTCACGCCCAGAATCTGAAGTCATGCAAAAATACATTGACTAGGAGTTAGCCAAAGGTTTCATTAGGCCATCAACCTCACCCGCAGCAGCTGGCTTCTTCTTTGTAAAAAAAAAAAAAAGATGAAGAACTGAGACCATGTATTGATTACCGTGGCTTAAATGATATTACAGTGAAATTCTGATATCCATTACCCTTGGTTCCTATTGCCCTAGAACAGCTGCGCAGAGCTAAATATTTCACCAAATTAGACCTACACACCTTCTTGGTGTACTTCATCAGCCAGGAGGGAGTGGCTATGGATGAACAGAAAGTCAGGGCAGTGGTAGAGTGGCCCCTTCCTAGGTCAATCAAATAACTAAAGTGATTTTTGGTCTTTGCAAATTTTTATTGACGATTCATTTGAGGATTTAGTAGCATCACTGCGCCACTCACTTCCATGACAAGAAATTCAAAAGCAACCCTTATATGGTAAACCGAAGCAGAGTAGGCTTTTCAGAATCTAAAAACTAGGTTCACCACAGCGCCCATACTTCATCACCCTGATCCTGACAGACCCTTCATTGTAGAGGTGGATGCTTCTAACACGGGCATCAGAGTGATACTGTCTTAACGTCAAGGTACACCCCCCAACATGTTCCCATGTGCATATTATTTTAAGAAACTTACCCCAACTGAACAAAACTATGATGTCGGAAAGCAGGAACTCTCGGTCAAGGCAGCATTAGAGGAGTGGAGACATTGGTTGGAGGGGGCTAACTTCCCTTTTACTGTTTTCACCGACCACAAGAATTTAGAATATCTCAAATCCGCTAAATAATTGAACCCCAGGCAGGCGAGATGGGCTGTGTTTTTCACTCGCTTCCAGTTTACAGTAACCTACAGACCAGGTACCAAGAATACCAAAGCCGATGCCCTGTCACACCAAAATCACCACCTAAGTAGCTTTCAGTCTGAGGCAACAGTTATTCCCATCAACCTCCTGATTGCACCTGTACAGTGGAATATAATTACTCTGATCCAACAAACCAATCAAATTACCCACCTACAAAATTCTCAGGGACACACCGCTATCTTCACCATCATCGGCTGTTTCTCGAAATCCTGTCGACTTGTACCCTTGACCAAACTCCCCACTGCCTTTTAAACCACAGAACTCCTGTTTAATAATGTGTTTCGGTTTCACGGACTTCCTGAAAACATAATGTCTGATCGGGCACCCCAATTTACCTCCAGAGTATGGGCAGAGTTTTTTAAACAATTGAACATCAACATCAGCTTGACTTCAGGCTATCACCCAGAATCTAATGGACAGACAGAAATTTAAATCAGGAGATCATCCAGTTCCTTAGAATTTACTGTCATCAGAATAAGGCAGACTGGAGCAGATTTTTGATGTGGGCAGAATATGCCCAAAACTCTCTGCAAAAACCCTCTACTGGATTAACCCCCTTTAAACGCACGCTGGGGTACCAGCCACCACTATTTCCCTGGTCAGGTGAACCATCTAATCTTCCTTTGGTTACCGATTGGCTGCAACGCAGTGAGGAGACCTGGAATCGTGCTCACATCCATCTTTAACGAGCCACCTGAAGTCAGGAAAGACAGGCTAACCTGCGTAAGCAGTGCCAACCTGATTACACTCCAGGACAGTGGGTCTGGCTTTCTACTAGGGACATTCGATTGAGACTACCCTACATAAAACTCAGTCCCAGGTATGTGGGTCTTTCTAAAATTCTCAAACAAATCACAGCAGTTTCATTTTGTTTAGAATAACCCACTAACTACCGTATTTACCCCACGTTTCATGTGTACCCTCCTGAATCCGGCGAGTGATCCGAGAGGAAAGCAAGAGACGATGGGCTAAGGGTGCTCTCCTCCTCCCCTTCTGGTCGATGGCCAAGAAGCTTACCAAGTTCGAGAATTGCTCAACTCCAGGCGCCGGGGCAACATACTCCAGTAAATCGTGGATTGGGAGGGATATGGCCCAGAGGAACGTTCATGGGTCCCTGCAGGACATATCCTTGACCCTTCACTTACAGAACAGTTCCACCAATCTCATCCAGAGAAGCCCCATCCTCGACCCCGAGGGAGACCCCGGAGTCGTCAAACCCCTCACATCAGGAGCCGTTCGCAGGGAAGGGGCTCTGTTATAAGCGTGACACTCACGCCGCCCTCTCTGTACGACCAGAGGGACCACCTACCTGAGAACTGACAGGTACCGCCTGCCCCAACACGTAGCCTGCCTCTCGTACCTCGACTGTTAGCCGGCTGCCCCGACATTAGCCTGCCTATTCTTACTCTGTATCTGCTGTTTCCTTCTAATAAAATTGTAAGTGGATCCTCAGTCTCCAGAGTCTTACGCTTGTTTCACACCAAACGCGTCAGTGCCGCGTGAGCAGAGCGTGAGCAGCGCGTGTGTTTTCGGCATCCATGTTAACAAATTAGAGCAGCGCGTCAGAGCGAGGCATGAGCGTCGCCAAAGCAGCAGGGCAGCGATAGTTTTGGCGCTGGGTCTATTTTTGACGCGCTGCTCACGCTCAATTAAAGTGACAGTGCATTGATAATGACCAAAACACATTGAATAACAGTAAAAAAGTAGCAATTTTACCCAATAAATGCGTTACAGTTTTTTTGGATTGCTTACACACTAAAATTAAAAGTAGTACACTATTAGCAAAACCTTACACACAAGTATCAAAACATCAGCCCATATTTGCACAACTATAAGCACATTGTCAGCCTCACTGTAGTGGAGTTAGCTGGTTTTTAGGTGAATTTGATCGTCGCCATGGAGTGCCGGTAAGAACACGGAGACTTGAATCCCATTTAAAGCTCTTTATTGTCCATCACACTTTGTGTATGTGTTTGGTGTGTGTGTGTGTGTGTGTGTGTGTGTGTGTGTGTGTGTGTGTGTGTGTGTGTGGTTTCTCATCATTGACGCACACAAAACTGACTGGAATTAGGCGGAAAGCAAAGCATGCAACCTTTCTCTCTGTCTGATCAGAATGAAACCAGTTAACAGTCTCCATGTACAGCAGACCTAAGCTGTGTTTTGATTGGCTGCCTGTGCTCGTGATCAGCGCATGATCAAGTACGAGCTCTATAGGAGTCTGTTCGTGATGTCACAGCATGCACGCGTGAGGAGAGAGCACAGCTAGTGTCCAGCTCTGGGCTCAGCCCACCGACCTCTTTTACAGCCGCCCCTACATTTGCTATGCAAATGTACAATCATCCTTTGCCATTTTAGTCCGTTGTAGGGTTATCATCTGGAATAGAAGGCAGAGTGATAAGACGAGCCACAGGACGATGATATTGTTTGTTTTTGACTTCTATCGTTGCTGAACGAACACGACCATCCAATCCGAGGTATGTGGTAACAACTTTGCCGACAGGCCACAAGGCTCGAGGAAGTTGGTGATCTATTATCATCACGACTGTTCCAGGTGTGAGGTTGCTGGTGTCTGTCATCCATTTCTGACGTTGTTGCAGGGTGGGTAAGTAATTCTTAATGAAACTCGTCCAGAACTGGTCGGCCAAGACCTGTGAGTGCCGCCATCTTTTCCGACTAAGGATCTCAGATTCTGGGTAGATGACTTGTGGTAGTGACACATCTGGCCGCCCCATCAACAGGTAATTTGGGGTCACAGGATCTGGGTCAGCAAGGTCAGAAGAAACATAACCCAGTGGCTTTGCATTGAGTATAGCCTCAACCTCTATAAGGAGTGTTCTGAGTACTTTCTCTGTGAGAGTTTGGGGTCCTATTATGGTGCATAAGGCTGCTTTGACTGAGCGAATTTCTCGCTCCCACATACCTTCAAAATGTGGGGCATTTGGAGGATTATAATGGAACTGGATTTTCTGTTTTGCTAACTGGGCTTGGAGATCGGGACTCATGGCTGTAAACGCAGTTTGTAATTCTTTATCTCCTCCTCGAAAATTGGTGCCCTGATCTGCCAGTATTTCAGAGGGAGTTCCTCGTCGAGCAACCATGCGTCTGAGAGCCATTAGAAAGGAGTCTGTGTCCATGTTGGCCAGAAGATCTAAGTGCACACAGCGTGTTGTCATGCACTTGAAAATAATACCCCATTTCTTTTCATTGCTCCTTCCTCGTTTTACCAGGAATGGGCCAAAGCAATCTACTACCGTGGAAAAGAAAGGCGGTTTCATGAGACGAAGTCTGGCTGGTGGCCAATACGGGGCATGGTAATTTTTGGAAGATGATTCAGTTCGGCCTCCCAATTCTGCCAGGCCTGCAGCAGTTCTGATGGTAGAAGGGGGTCATCCCATTCTCGTTCTTTTGCCCACAGTTGACGTACAATGATTTTGGCCCTTGTTGTGAAGGGTATGATGTAGCCTAGTGGGTCATATTGGCTGGCAAGGACACGATAGATATTCCTCATTGTTACCTCCTGGTAGGGCAGCGGGCGGCGATGGTAATGTAGGGTGTCTGGTACACAATGCCAGCTAAGTCCCAGTGTCATTTCATGGGGGTCTGCCTGACTTTGAGAAATCCACAGCTCAGTATTCTCTGATTTGGCCTCTTTAGGGAGATGTCTGACCACTGTGGCCTCATTGCTTGCCCACTGACGGATTTCGAAACCCCCTGAGGCTAGTATGGACCTTAGACCATCAATTAGTTCACGGGCTTCAACTGCAGATGAAGTGCTTTGTAGGCAGTTGTCGACATAGAAGGAATGTTCAACTGACTGTCGTAGCTTGTCACCCTGTTGGCAATGGCTAAAAACGTGTCGCTGAACGGCAAAGGTTGCACAACAGGGGCTACAGGTTGTGCCGAATGGAAGGACTTGCCACTCATACACATCAGGTGGGTTTTCAGGGTTTAGGTCCCGCCACAAGAACCGCAGAAGGGGTTTATCTTTGGGGAGCAGACGGACCTGGTGAAACATCCCTTTAATGTCTCCACTGATGGCGACTCGATGTTCTCTGAAGCGAATTAACACTCCAAGGAGAGTGGGGCCTAATGTTGGTCCTGGCAAAAGCTGCTTGTTCAGATTTTCTCCATTGTATGTATAAGAGCAATTGAACACCACTCTGTGCTTTCCATTGTGTGTCACAATGTGGTGGGGCAGATACCATGACTCTGTAGATTGGGCTGCTTCTTGAGGTGGTATTTAGTGGCATAACCAGCATTCTCCAGTTTTTTGATTTCCTCTTGATATTTGAGGGCTAATGGTGGGTCCTTTGTCAGACGGCGTTCAGTGCTACGGAGATGGCACATTACAGCCTCTTTGGGGGCATTGAGTAAAGTCATTTTTTTGACTCTTAAAAGTGGGGTGGCATATCTGTCAATTCCATCCACTTTCACCTGCACTGTTTGTGTCTCGAGCATGTTCAAGGCTTTTTGATCCTGTTGTGACCTTACTACAATTTTCTCACTTCGGTACGGCAGGATGTCCATCTGCCATAACTTTTCAATCTGATGATAAAGTTCTGCGGATGGAGAACAATTAGATGTGAACAGGCACTGTGAAATTGGGAGTTGTTCTTGTACATGTTTGGAGGGGCCTTGCAAAGCCCAGCCAAGGCGAGTTCTGATTGCTGCTGGACCTCCAGGTGGACCCAATAACACTGGTTCAGTTGGTGTGATGAGCTCAGTGTGATCTGAACCAATGTGCAGCAGGGGACAAGCTTTGTGCAGGGGTGGTATGGGAACGCCCCTGAGGTGTCTGTACCTTTTCTGCAAGGAACTCACTGGATAAGTGTGTTCTGCTAATCCAAACTGCTCTGCGGTAAAAGCCCCGTGAATGGCATATCTCTTACCAGGGTTACTTGGAGTGGATATACAGAAGGATACAGATGTGCCATGTAATGTCCTGATATCTTGGTGTACTGTCCGTAAGTTCAACTGTTCTGGTTTGCCCTTTAAACCAAGGTGATTTGCAGCGGTGGCAAGCAGAATGGTGCGCTCTGAGCCATCGTCAAGTATTGCAAATGTGTCCAGAGCCTTTTGTTGGTTATGAAGTGTAACCTTGACAACCTTTAGAAAGACTTTGCCCCCACAGCGTGGCTGGTCTAGGTACAGAGTCTCTGTGGTTGAGTTATACAAACTACTGCTTTCATTGGTAACTTCAGCTTTCCTTTGATTTATGTCATGGAGCACAGAGAGATGTTTGGCTTGACACAGGTGGCAAGGCTTTTGAAGGTCACAGTCTTTAGCCATGTGTAAACATGCACATTTCCAGCATCGTTTATTCTCTTTAATCCAACCCACAATCTGCTCCTTAGTTAATGTATTGAAGGCGGTACACTGGCTGAGGTAATGTTCCGCATTGCAGTATGGACAGACAGGTTTGTGTTTGTTAGGTGCTTTCTGCTGTATTATGGTGGGTTTGGTTACCTGTTCTGTAGTCTGTCTTTGATTAACACCATGCAGTATGCTGGTTTGCCTGGTTTGTTGTCGAGTGACTGCTCTTTGATCTCGATTTAGAGTTCTGGTGGTATCAGTTGGGTCAAATTCTAAGCAGTTAGCTTCCAGCTGCAGCCAATCTGCAAACTCAAGGAGAGAGAACTTTGTCTTATCTGGGTTTCTCTTGAGATGATGCCTCCTGAATTGAGTTTGTTGTGAACGAGGAAGACGGTTTAACAGTCGTTTAACATTTGACCCACTGTGCAGTTCCTCAATACCATCATCCTTGAGGGCTTTAAGCATGCCGACCATTGCTTGGACTCTGAGAGAAAACTCATCGAATGCCCGCTCATCACCAGCACGAATAGCTGGGAGGTTCTCCAATGTCTCTATTTCTCTCAGCACAAACTGGTAGGGCCTGCCATACCTCCTGTCGAGGGCTTGCAGGGCATTTGTGTAAGGAGTGACTGATTTTGCATGTGCTAACACTAGTCTGTGAGCATTAGGTACCTTCACATGCTTCAGGAGGATGGAGTACTTATAATTCTCGGGTATTTGAGGGTGGAGCAAATTATCCAAAGCCATCCTAAGTTCCACATACTGAGCTCTGTCCTCTTTGTAAAAATCTGGAAAGGTGGGCCCTTCCACTGTTGGACTCCAGTATGAGGGAGGAGGAGGTGCATAGGGTACAGTGTTAGCCCTAAATTGAGATGTAGCTTGGTATGACGTTTGTGGCATTGGCTCAGTCACTGAAACGAACCGGCTGTGTACTGGGTGGACAGCTGCAGGTGGTATGTTATAGAAATGTGGCTGGGTGGTTTGGATGTGTTGCTGTCCAGGGAGAGGAG